TGGGGGTGGAGGGGGCGGTGAAGGCGAGAGCAGGGCGCCGCGCTTCAGCCGCGCTGTCCAAACTCCAGCCGGCCCGCCCTCCGTCCGCCACAAATCATACAACAAGGAGAGTGAGGGAGAGCGCGGAGGCGGCCGGGGAAGTTAGACAAGCATCGCCTTGGTAGACCTGTTTATCCACACCGGGGAGGCCTGGAGGGAGGCCGCGTCGTATACGCCAGCCACCCCGACCACCCCCCGGCCGCCGCCAGCGCGTCCACCTGCAGCGGCACGTCGCGGCGCTGCACAAAGCAAGACGTCACGTCACATTCGCGGGAGGGATACAGTTTCATCGCATCGGCGAGAACAGACAACGGAACGGCATACGTGTACCGCCTCTCGTTTTGTGCTGCTCGATTTTTACTCGAACCCTTATGCGACGGGTGAGGTTTTATTTCGGCGCTCTGCAAGGTGTGCGTCTGCATGTGTACGGACGTGCCTGTGTGCGTGCGTGTCGGCCCCGCTGCTGGTGGGCGGGGCGAGGGGGTCCCCGGGGGAAATCGGCCCTGAAACTCGATCACTGCGCTGAGCGGCGCTGAGCGGCGCTGAGAGCCACGCCAATCTGGAAAGGGGACATTACCTGCCTGGCACAGGTTGCCCGGGGTCGGGAGGGACGCCGCCGAATGCCGAGGAGCGGGCGCCCACAGAGACAGTCTGTCGGGCGTATCACATCTTTTACTCCGCGAAATTATTTTTATTTTTTGGGGACGATTTCAAAAGAGAACTTACATTATAGCGAGTCGCTTGCACGCATCGCGGTGTGGCACTTCGCACCCTCTCCTAAAGCTGCCCTGCCGGCCGGGCGTTTCACTAGTCCAAGACTATTTCACCGTCTAGAGCTGACGGCGTGACCAGTTCAGTTGAACAAACCGTCATTTGATAACCCTTATTAAACTTGCATTTGAAGGGCGCTGTGCCGCCCGCTCCAGATCAGTCCCCAGGACCACCGTCCGGGTGGAACACGCCCCCCACCCCGCGGAACGGCGCTGTTTTGGCTTTCCTCGTTCCTGGAGGAGGTAAGCTGAAGCCACCGGATGTATTCGAGCGGGGCGGGGAAGGGCCGAGGCAGAGAGAGTGAGAGAGACAGAGACATACACAAAGACAGAGAAACAGAGGGAGAGGGAGGGGAGAGGCCCATCGTATGAGAGAGACAGTCCCTTAACCCTCTCCACCTCTTTACCTTACCCCTTCCTCCGGGCTCCCATCCTATTCTGACAGCCCCCCCCCCCTGCCC